AAAAAAAAAAAAAAAAAACAACGCATGGCCTATTATTCGGGGGTTTTACATGCCAATCAGAACCGACAGTCCGCTGATAGGCCATGTCGAATGGGCGACATTAGGCGTCGACGGTGGCTACCGCAATTTAGCTTCTCGAGTCTTGAGTGGAAGACCTGAGTCAGTGTCTCCCCTCTTACTCGCAACTCTATTCGAATTGCCACGACCACACTTGTTCCAGTGAAGTCGAGTTCAGTCTCTGGCATGCGTCTTGTTTGGTTTAATTTCCTTAACTACGGGATGCACGTCTTATTCGTTGCATTCGACAGTGATCGACACGCTCGTCGTCTGGATCGGGTGTGCGGGGATGGGGGCTTGATTGGTGCGAAATTTCGCGAGCACGATGAAACTAAGAATACCGTTGGGATACTTGGGAAGCCATATGGTTTGATGATGATGGCTCTATGATATCTTCATCCCTTCATCTGGTTTCGAGTCAAACTCCCAGGCTTTCGGGGGAGCAGAGAGCTCCGAGAACCGTTGCTTTGGGAGGGTGTCAAACCTCGCGTGGGGTTTAGACATCCTCTAGTTCTCTGCCCAACTTTCGGCCTCGTTGACGCAGTTCTCCATCGAGGTGGGGGTGGAAATGAGAAAGACTATGTGAAAGAGGGGTTGAAATGCATAGCCTACACATTCACATACACTCTTCTCTAAGCCCCCTCCCCCTCTCCGACCTTGCCCTACTGCTTTTCCTGTTTATCTTCGTAGAAGACGCCCTACCCTCCATGATCAGCCAGCGAAATGCTACAGGTTGCTACTCAAGAATAGGCAGAAAGTTTCTGTGTGGTAAATCAGGAGGGCCACCAGTCACTTTGTCCGTCATTGCAGGGGTTTGGCTGTGTGGATGCAAGATCCCTGACGATTTACCAGAGTCGCAGCAGCGGATGATCTGTCATAGCGACTGGAGGTTTGGCTGCAGTAGCTGCTCCAATCGCTGGCCGAGCTCCGGTCCAGGGTTCGAAAATAGCCATCCTTTCCCCTGGTATTACTCATGATTCTGTTATTAATGATCCATTCCCATGGGAGAGGTCGGTGAAGGTTGGGTATGATGCTAACTAGACCAGGTGATGTTCGTTCCATGCAAGATTTGGGCCTCGCCCCAGTAGGAGATTTCCCTCTCTCTCTCTCTCCAACTAGAAAAGAACTAGAATCTCGCTAAAATTATACCAACCAACATCCTGGTCAGGTTAGTCCTGCTTTGGAGTGTGTTGCCGTATTCACTGACTTTTTGCCCTTTGTCTGACTCCATCATCTAGGTACTAGCAGAGAACCAAGAAAATCAGGCCATATACACAGGAATGATTCATCCATTCGCCCGGAGTACAGAGTTGAAATCCGGTTTGAATATCAACTTGACCTTGCATATAGTGCCCAATTCAAATTGCGTTCAAAACGACTGATCCCATGCGCCGCACCCGGATAGGAATGAGACTAATTAGACTCTGTCTTAGACAAGAATCCCAACGGCCGAGTAGTGAAACCCACTATTCCAGGCGATCCGCGAAGGTTTAGCACGAGGTATTAGCGGCTTAGCGCCGTCGCTGAGCATCACTGTGGCTCAGGTCCTTCCTCTTTGGATGTGTCCCGGAGAGATGGATTGCAACCCCACGCCGTCGTAAGTGGTACTCATGGTATGATGCGTACACTGTACTGTACATACACTAGCTGACTGTGAGCGTGACTCTCTCAGGCATGGCGCAGTGAATGTACGTCCATCGTGAGCACAGACTGTACTGCTAACAGGATCGAGGGACTGGTATGACGCCCACACCCACTCGCTCACGGACCTTGCGCCAATGCAGGCAACAGAATCCTTCCTACACTGGGTACTCCACGCTGGCCAAACGCATTGGTCGTCCGCAGCTAACCGGCGCCTAAACATGACCGGCGGTTATTACCCACTGAACCACATGGTCAGAACAAAGAAGAAGTTGAGGTCCCCTGTCCGTTAAGGCGGACAGAGCTTAAGATGGCAGCTTATAGCAGAACCCACGCTCCCGTCAGCATTGCCTGAATGGTCTCATATATAGTGTGCGATTTTGTCGGTCATACATATCCATGCGATACCACCTTAAGCAAACGACGAACACACCAATTCACTGCTTCATAATATTCCAGCGCTAGACCATAGGAATAGTAATCTTGAAACAGCCACATGCGGACGACATCACACTGCAAAACGACGATCTAGCGCATCTTAACCCAGATCGGGGATCGTAAGGAACCAAACACCGGAATCAGGCTCATTGGTCGAGTTGCCTCGCATTTTTCTTTTTTGCCTCCTTTGTTGCCCTCCGTTCTACCGACAGACGCTGCGTGGTGGCCAACCTGAGCATTCGGCACTTGTCATGCAAGATCAGTGGCTATGACTACCTATCTATTGGATGAAATTATCTGGTGATACCGTCTTGTGATGTAGATTGATGTTCTGATGCTTTGTGTCTTGCCCTTTGTAAGCTCTGGGTAAGCTACAGCCACGTCATAGATGTTTGATATTCCTCCTTAGACCCAGTTCTGATCTCGTATCTAACTTACGACACTTTCTTTTGTAGATCTTAATTGTCCACTACTATGGTTTCCCATAAACTTACCTTTTATTTTTTTTTGTTTCTTTCTCTTGTAATTTCCCTTTCGCATGGTGAAACTTTCCTTTCCACCCAGACCCAAAGAGAGACTAGAGAGTCAACAACCCTAAGCCTCGAGGGAATTCCAGCCCCCAAGAACAAGCCCCCCATCCATCCTTCAGGAATGAAGAACAGGAAGCCCCTCCAAAAGTATAGTAGACTAAACGCCCCGAACCAAACACACGCGAGAGTCTGAAACACTGTTCAAGTAGTATTATGTACTACGGAGTATATATACAACAAGCGCCAACTAAAAAGCAACACTAAGATCAAATTAAAACACAAAGAACGCACGTAAAGTAAAAAGTCCCGTGTCGATCACTTTTCGTCGTCCGGGTCGTTTGGCCTTCTCGTTCCAGTAAATTAAGAAACAAATCAAAGACCACCTCCAAATAGATTAAAAACAGTAATGAAAAAAGAAAAAGAAAAATGACAACAGTGGATACCAAAAAAATTGACCAAGAGCCAAGCGACCCAACCTCTCGGACACGAATCCTATTCCAGTTAGTCGACTGGGTCCTCGCACGACACATCACTAAACTACATTGGGTAAGGGCCCGCTGCCACGCCGGAGATCTACTTGTCGGTGCTTTTTTCATCCAATGCTTTAACTGCCTTGGGTAATCGATACGATCCTGATGTGGGATTGATGTTGCAGTGAGTATGCGACGTTGTGCGTGATGGTGGTACGGTTTAACTGCGACGTCCTTGACCTTTTACCATATAGGAACTAAACTAACTAACTTATCCTTGTCTCTTTACTATTGACTATGGAATGTGTCTATTGAAAATCCTTCCGAGCCTCATATTGTTGGTATGTTATCCGTTCCATACAATACAGACACGACACTAAACTAACTAACCAAGACCTAGAATATACTGTAAGTAGTTCTTTACCCACAGTCGGATATTACTCCCCTCCGCCCCGCCGCCCCCTCGTTAAGCTCTACCAGTTTACCGCTAGACCATAAGGGGAAGTTACGCACTTCCCCTTCTTGACTAAGCGGTTATGATAATAATTAGACTTTGAGACCTCGGCATCGCCGAAGGTCAGGTCCTGGATCAAGTTATGGGTGTGGGTCGGTCGGTGGGAACAAGCTATGGCCAGGTGAGGTGGATTTGCTGCTGTCCTTGATTCGAATTCCGATCTGCATTCTTCTTGATTGTCTGTCTCATCATGTCGTTCGTTTGGATGGGAGTTGGATGTTATTTTTTATTTTATTTTAATGCAAGGATTGGTAGGGTTGGGTGGTGGCTTTCTACTTTACTCTACTTAGTTACTTTTCTTCTCTACCTATGTACATATACACATTATCTCAATACGATTTCCATATATATGTATGTATATATATATAAATGTATATCCCAGTAAACCAACCGTAATTACAAAGGAATAGGACAACATAGGAACAGTAATATGATTACACTTAGTATCTAGAACCTCCCATCCCTGATTTCCCTTCAATCTATCTAGCCATGGAAAAATAGATTAATAAATTAATCCCTATATAAAATTTAATAACCACTCCAACCTTTTTCCACCCCAAGGACCACTGACCACGGATAATCAGATGGGGTGCGTGGGCATTTAGCTTTTTTGATTGACGTGTCCTGCCACTAACGGCTAATCACAGCGGGTATTGTACATAGTAAGCCTGAGCACTAAGGTTCCATTCACACTGTATGCCTGGAGGCCTGGGAATGAACTTGGATGGCCAAAGAGTGGGACTAAACAAAGCGATCTAATCCCTACAGTTACATATCCACTTTTACTAGGTGATGATTAATCATCGTCGTCTTCGCGACTAGTTCAGCTATTTCCCACATCAATCGCTCGTGTCTTTACTATAATGAATTGAAAGGATAGGCCGAGGTCTTCAAATACCCGTGTCTTGTGTCTCATTGATATTACCCCCGATGGGGCTCTTGGTCCTTTTTCTTTTCTTCTTTTCTTTTTCTAAGGGGAAAAATAAATAATTTATTAAGTACTCCGTAGAATAAAATGATTCAAGATAGGCAACTAAATACGAACGAATAGAAATGAAGGGATGAATTAATGAACCTCGGCATTTAGACAAGCGAACACTGAGATTGAATGGTGATCGGATTCCCACCATCTTACAAGCTGTATGTAGTATGTATAATGACAATCTCCCCTTTTCCATTCCCGATGACTTAATGAGTGCTGGTTGCTCCTGGACGAAATAGGAAATGAGGGTTTCGGCCGCTCCCTGCCGGGCGAAAATCGGACTCAAAGTTTCCACCCCCTCCCGCTCCACATGATGGCCGTGGTGGGGAGTGCGTTAAGTCCGTTCGTGGATTATTTCCGTGCTACTAGTATGTTTTCTGGTGTACTTGCGTGGTTTTTTATTTTTTTTTTTCCTTTTTGCTTACCTGCTTTTTGCGCTACTTTGGTCATCTTTTGGCAGGGGGGTTGTTGTTTTCGCTAGTAGGTCGATAGTTTGAAGACGAATATCATAATGTGTCATGGTACTCCGTAGAATCGGTGATGACCAAGTTATACGAGACTATAGGTGATTTTCGGTCGTGTTATTAAGATCGTGGCGAGGCGACTTTCCCATGCCTGTGGTGGACGGCCGATACTAGCGATGCAATGCCGTGGTTGGGATGGGTCTGAAAGACTCGTTCTAACAGTACCGGGGGGCGATCCTTAGCTTGGGTCCTTTTTGATATCGGTTAAGTGACCATGACTCGAGTAGATTGATGATTCTGATTATATGATCGTGTTTTATGGAGCTAAGTGCCGTAGCACTGCTAATGGGGATGGGGATCGAAACGTTGATGGCTCTCATGCTGTGCTAGTCCTTTCCCCCTTTTTGGTCGGTAGATGGCTTATTGCCGTTGCCGTTGAAGACGCAATGAGCACCTGGTGGTCTAGGATCAGGAACAGGAACAGGAACAGGAATGTACTGTTTTCGGCATCCATGAATGTGGCTTCTATGTATAAATGATCGCCCGGAAGTGGAAAAGTTAGCCGATCGGTTTTTTTTTTTTTTTTTTTTTACGAGCGAGAATACGGGAATATAGGATCGTGTCTGACCTCCTTATTTGCCCCCTGCTTTGTACAGTATGTGAGCATTAGCTTAATGAGGCCATGTTTGTGATGACATGATCGTGTCATACCTCCTGACAATGTCTAAGCCTCTCATTAGCCAAGGATGGGATCCCTTATGTCGGTATATATCACATTACACCCCGGGGGGAGGCAAGTTGCAGTAAGCCACATGGTTGAAAAGTGTAAATTACCAGGTAATTAAGGTAAGGTAAGCGGCTCATTCCGCTGTAACGTAAAGCAGGGTGTGGCTGTCGCGCTAAGATTAGTGCATCGGCTTTGGTGCCAAACTCGGGAAGGGCCGAACGATGATGCAGCGGAGCCGACGTCTGCCACGTGAAGTTGCAAGGGTCCAGACTCCAGCAGGGACGCTAAGGCCTCTCTAGCCCGGAAGGGGTTTGGATCGTCTGACGCCCGCTCCAGCAGTTCTCGCTAAAGTCGACAAAAGGGGCGGCTTGTCAGGGGTCGTATCACTAAGCCGGATGTGGTAGTGCCTCGCCTCAGGCTGAAAAATTCCAAACACCGAGGCGTCGGACCGTGTAGATACTTCAGAAAACCGCGGCTGTAAATCACGGCAGGAAAAAAAAAAAAAAAAAAAAAGGTGATGTATGCGCCTCAGCCCCTGGTTGCCTGGCTGCCTGGTTCCTGCTTCTTGTTTATTCCCCACGGACCAACCAAGTTAAAGAAAGCTCCCTGATGATGATCTGCGGTGGTAACTTGATTAACCAACATGCCAATTGGGTGGAAGCGATGTTCTAGACAAGATGTCGATGGTTCATTCCTTGGTCCTTGAATTTTCAGGAATGATCGTATTGGCATCGATCATCCCTGACGGCATGCTCCGGATCGCGATGGGGTAAAAGACACCCGTCAACCCTCACGAGACCTGGCGAAGTTTGAAAGAAACCTGATGTGACCAGTATACCCGTCAGGTTGTACAGAAGACGTCATTTTGCATTCCCATCTGCATAGGGCGCGACAGGATGCAGAAATGTGCAGATAGTAGATGCAGCGTCGTCGACCGCCACCATGTGTTTCTTCTCAGCCCCTGTGCAACATCGGTTATTTTTACGAGAAGGAGCATAAAGGGAAACCCTAAAGCGAGCTTGCCCGTATGGACGGATCAAAACACGACAAAGGCAAACACTAGTATTGGGGGAACGACGGGAGAGGCTGTGTTTATCGATGATCATTGATCACTGACTACTAGTTTACGACCGGACTAACTGGTCAACCGGTACCCGGGCGGCTGGCTGGCCTAAGGCAACTAACTCTTCCGTCTCAAAGACTGAAACTTGAGAAGCTCTCGTTTTAAGTATCTGATCGACGAGTTTCGTCGCTTCTACCCGCCCGTCCATCGATCTTCACCTTAGCTGTGACTTGTTCTGGCAATAAGCTCTAAGTTCGAAGTCGCACGGTCGCGCATCCCTTTTTTATACTTTTTATACTTTTAACCTTTGCTTCTTTTTCTTTTTATGGAAATACAAACGGTGTCAAAGAGTTGCCTTCCGACAGTCTCAATAATGGTAAGATTCAAGAGGCGACGTGTCGACGTATACGACGGGTAATTTCCCCACGGCATCCACTGAATCAGCGTTTTTCATTATTAATGTGAGGAACGAAGCAGTGGTTAGAAAAGAAGGAAAATCGTCAGATTGAAGCATGATGTAACCACCATTGCCACGAACTGTCAATAGTAGTCTCATAATCCAACAAAACTATGTTTGCCTACTTAGTACTAGCTAACTAACTACCTAACCACTAAAAGAGCGTGCGATACTATTATTATTCCCTCGCTGACACGGGTACTTAGCCTAGCACCCGGTGCTAGGCGGGTTGCAGTAGTTCATCCGGGGCTATTTGGCGGTCAAAGCTGCGACGTTGGGAAGCGTTGGATGATCAGCGCACATCATTGTCAATCTTTATCAAGTTTTATCATCGGAATCTGTCCGTTCGGAAGACGGGAAAGGGGTTTTCCGCCCCGGTTTTGTATCCTGTGTATTGTCTCCTTTCCATGCATGTTACTGGCCGGTATTCCGTCCGCGTACCCACAATCAACCCCACCGGCTACAAGGATTATTGCTGACAACCGCTCCTAGAGAGACATTATTGTCTAACTATGTGACGTTACCAATGCGGCTGCTACATTCGCATCCCAGGAAAGGTCCTTCTTCGTAGATACTCCGGAGTATACTCGACGGAATATGAATCTTATCCCAAATCTATACATAGAAGTTGACACAATAGTTTCCAAGGGTTCTCCCTAGACAGAGTTTTGAAAGGATCATCGAACCATGGGGTTGGGTTGGTGATATACATTGCGTGGCTTTTTGTTCGACTGGTCGAGGTCAGTAGTATTAAAATTACGGGGGTTTTCTTTCCCTCCCGTATAGCCTCAAACACGGCATGTATGCGGTCCTCGGCCTCGTGGCATGACGACTGCAAAATATAATACATAGTCCCCGAAAACAGAAAAAGACAGCTGTATCATTCCTCCCTCGGTGATAATCAGCGATGCGCAGTCGATCATCCCAGCTGTCGCCTTTTTCTTGATTATACTTTCTTTAAACTAACCTTGCCCCTATTTTTGTGTTCCGTGTTCGTGGTCGGTGAAGGGGGTGTTCCTGCCGAACACGTATGTGGGATGGGATTTGCTTACTCACTCGGTCCTCGGTCCTGGACCCGTGGTACTCTGCAAAGGATAGACAAGGTTGATCCCAGGGCACGGTCAGTCATTTGAGTCATCTGTTCATCTTTCCTTTTGGGGAACCGTACAGAGTATTGTTCCTTTTTAAAGACAAGGTTAAGTTTTTTTTTTTGTCGCAGTCTTGTTTTGAGTTTAATGGGGGGTTGTGAAGCGAGATTGATTTTTTTGGTTTGTTGTAACTAAGAGTTCCCGATAGAATCTACGTCGATACATATCTAAGGTGGTACGTAGTAGTAGACTAGTAGTACGGAGTAAGAGTAGTAAAGGGCGGGAATACTCCGTCCGACGGTATGGTATTATTGACCAGGGAGGGTGAACTTAGTAATCAGCTCGCTACAACAGGACAAGAAAGGGAAGGAACTCGTATGCGCGACTGGACCCATGGGCTACTCCGGAATGAGGAAGTTCCAAAAGGGAGCTAAGGGTATCGGATCACAGCGAAATCAGACAAGGATGTGCGCGTATATGCGAAGCCCCTGGTCGTTGTTCTGACCCGTTCTGGAACCCCAAGCTCATGAGTCGATGATCATCCATCGATCCAAGGATGATCATCAGCAGGTTCACGGAAGCGCTGTGGATCATGAAAAAAAAAAAAAAAAAAACTCACGTAAGTTGCACGGCAGGCATGCATGTTCATTGGGTGGTTTTTACTTGCTGAGTCGATGGGGATTATCCAGTAGAGCATGGAATAATTACTCTTTTACTGTTAAGAATATTGCTGTTATTGTTGATGATTGTCCTCTCCGTCCCGAGGAATGTAAAGGTAAAACAAGACACATGTCATCATCCTTGCAACATCATTCCCGAGCCTTCATCCCACGACTCTGGGAATGCAATTTAACAATCCACTATCAAAGCGTTACGGCCCATCACCAAGCCTATCCTGGATACACAGCCGGGTCCAACGTGGGATCGCAATGGGGGTTGGAAATCCAGTTGCCTGGAAGATTCACTAAGCCATACATAAATTAACGACTTAATATAAAAGAAGCGCGGGCGCGTCGTAAGATGCCATTGCACTAGACCAAGTTCAGACGGACGACGATGATGTAGTGACAGATGGAGCTTCTTCCTAACCCTGAGCGCAATAGCCCCATCGAAGCAATCGAAACAATTCGCTCCAGCCAGAATAACTCGCCAGTCGAGTCCGAGTCCTGTCTTGTACCCACGAGACATTTTACCCGGGCTTCGTTTATTAAAGTTGGGTCACACTGGGGCAAAAAACACATGGATATGAGTGTCTGAACCAATCCGGTTGGAAGTTCACTCGGATTCATAATCTCTTATTCAGCGTCGGTGTCGCTTTTCCCTAATTTGGGATAGCGTGTAGCGCATGGGTGCGTTTCTGTGGCTCTGGGAGATCGTCTGGGCTTGTGTTACAGCTCCTGTTGTCTTTTGTTTTTCCATTTGATGTTTGTGGTTTTGCTTTTGCTTAATATTTGTCATGCTTTTTGTGGTAGTACAGAGATCGGGGCTAGTGATTCTGGCTTGAAGATTGATTTGTCTGGTCTTATCGAGGTATTCGAGAAGAAGAAAAGAAAGCAAAAAGAAAGGAATGATGTAGTACTTACCTGAGTGTCTTTGAACGGGAGCACTACCTCATTTGCCAGTGTGCAGCGTCTCGTACATATTACCCGAAAGTGGTAAGCTGCTTGGCGGGAGGATCCGCCGACTAGTATCTGATGATCATCCGAAAGGATTAAAATTGTATTGGAAAAAAAGGGATTGATCGTAGACGCCCCCCTTAGAAATGAGATTCAGACGAATCTATTGAGGCTTTCAGGTAGTACCCGAAGTGAGCTAGTAGTGATGGGGGTTTTACATGAACATAGAGACATGCTACCGAAAATAGATTTTATGAATTATGAATCATAGTGCACATAGACAAATGAATAAACCCGTAAAGGGACAATACTTACTAAGTATGTAAATTACGATCTCGCTTCCAGAAGTTTTAGTCCCAAGATTACTGATGCACCGATGATCATCCTTTAGCCCCATCTCGTCTCCATAACCCTTTCGGGAAGTCTGGGCGGAATCTGACCGAGGCATCTCGTGCACAGGAACCGGTAGAAAGCCAAGCCCGAAGGGAACCACGGTTGAGCTGAGTCCAGACAGTTATCTCTCCATGGAAGCTTTGTC